AAATACCTATAATAAAAGAGAACAGAAAAAAATTATTATCTCGAATTAATGATTAAAGCATAACTTGTCCAATTATACACAATTCTACAACGTCATTTAAATATAGAAGTGTCTTCAACAGTTGGTGATATTTATCTTTTGGTTCGTGGTTTAAGAAATTATGGATGCATAAAATATTCTTGTTAGATGGGCAACATTGACAGGATAGAACATTGCATCTTCAAATGCAGCGCATTATAAATAAAAAGCGATATCAAAACACAACACTTTAAACGCGTTACGAAATAAACCATTGCTTTTATATAATATGTTTCGGACTTTGGTCATTATATGCCACCTAAAAGCTGAATATTATAAATAAATCTTGTCAGCGCAGGCTTAGACTAAGAATTCAAAAAAAAAGGGAATCATCAAAATCAACTTCATAGAGTTTGTTGGTCTTGATATCTCTAGATTAGTGAGTGAGGAACTCATGTAAGAGAAGGATACTCTGGATCAACGCCCTGAGAAAGAGTCCCGAAGGCGGATACATTAATACAATGAATGCAAATTGTGCCAATTCTAGTTTGCATCACAAGTCATGTTGAAAAAGCATGTTCAACAGAACCGACAATCCCCTCTTGAGCAGAAGAAATTAACCCCTGCTCCTCAACAAAACAAAAAAAGGATTCGACCAATGCGAGTAGCTGCAAGGAGATAGAGAGAGAGCTTAGGGCAATGATTGCTGACATCGACAATGTTTCTATTTTAAGTGCTGAATGGTCAGATAAGTGTGATGTTAACTTGCCTGGTATATCAGTGCCACGAGATTAAAATGATCAATCAGCTGCTTTAGACTATGCACATCAGGGGCGACATTTCATTTTTTTCAGGGTTCGGGGCAAAATCAAAATTTGGTTGGCGTGTTAAGTTTTTACTGGAGGCGCCACAGTACATAGCAATTTAAATAAAACCTGCAAATTAGGGGGTGGGGGCAAATGCACTCTGCCCTACCCAAATGATGTCCCTGACGCCCATTGTTACGATAGAGTAGACCTGGCTACTCCTTAGCAGCTAGAAATTATTCTATGATTGTCAGCTTTACTGACGATAATCATATTTATACCACAAACAATGATATTTAGTCTTTAACAACCTTTCAATTAATTCTGCATTATAAAATTGAAGTGTATAGACCGTGTGCAATGAAATGATCAAAACCGCATTTGTTGTTGAATTACATTGTGGATCTTTAACTTTAAAAGAAATATAAACCCCTTTGGCCCAAGTTAACAAAAGCCTTTCAAATCTGTCGTCAGGAGAGCTACAATGAGATTTTTGGAAATCAAAAGCTTGAATCTATGTTAAGAACGTGTTAGCAAGTTTAAACTGCATTTTGTATCAAACTCAGTTGGTTAAATATCTTCAAAATGTAATTAACAACACAGAAGGGGAACATTAAGATAATTGAAAAAATTTAGCACAGTAAGCATTTGATCAATAGTTGTAAAAATATATTATTTTTTAATTGGATAAGTTGAAGATTTGATTTTTTAAAATACAGCTCTCATGAATCGAAAATCAGTTATAGCCTAAAGAATTTGAATATTTTGAATGGGTTTTTCTTCAGAAGTTTATAATTAATTATCGTTGAAAATATGTAAGCGTTTAATATAGGGCCTGGCGGGAATTCCGTTAACTGATTTTTAGAATCCCAACACCGAAGGAACAATTCAATCAAGAAAATCAACAACATGTTATAAAATACAAACTCAATTACTTATTTAGACTGCTGTCAGTTCACGTTCCAATTGAACGTATATGTTGTAGGTTTATATCGATATGGTCAGCTTCAAATTTGTTTAAGAATGCTTCAAAACATCACATTAGATCAATAGAAAAGGTTAGCACATATCGCAAAAAAATACGCAAATTTAAAAAAATGTTTTGCCAAAGCTAGACATGTTTTTTTTTTTTTTTTTTTTTTTTTTTAGGATTATATGGAACCCACCTATCTGGTTGGTGCATACACGTTTTCCTTAACTGAAAGATTTGCAGGTTTTTTTTTGTTTTGTTTTTTTTAAGAAAAAGAAATCAAGAATTCATTTTATACAGATCTAAATGAAAAAAAATAAAAAATATGCAGAATAATTTGTTGTTTCATTTGCGAATAGGTAGTTGACAAGGGAAACAAACTAACCCCTAGAATAATTAATATTTTGTGATTTCCCTTGGCTTTTGTTTTTACGTTTCAATATTCTCAGAAAAAAATAATAACCCGTTCAGTTTACATAATAACAGTATTCATAAACAAAGCAATTATTTATTTTTGTTTGTTAGAAGTCATCTCTCATAATTGAACAATCCCAACTTTATTACTGATGTTTGAAGCATTGTCAATTGTGGGCGAGGAGGGGGGGGGGTAACAGTGATGTTACACGAATTTTAATCAGATGCAGAAAAGTGGAAGTTGAATACTTATGAATTTACTAATATTAATCTTTTGTAGGAATTCTGCTAAAATGTACATTACTTTCAATAACGATGGTGTCACAATCACAATGTCTAGACCCATTAGCCGGCTACCGTTTTTTTTTTCTTTCTATTAATTAAAAGAAAAATATATATCCTTTCAGTTTATCAGCTCACCAGGTAACCAGTATTAGTTTTAAAGAATTTCATCAAGAGCTTAACTCTTGCATTTCTATTTGAAAATTACACCTCCCCCCCCCCTCTTCTCTCCAATTTCACCCCCAGATGATTATTTTGAAATCTCAAATTTTCTAGTGACGATGACGACATCAGCTATTACTTTGTCACCAACGCCAGTGATCTTTTCTTGAGCCTTAGCCACCTGCAAAGCTTTACCCTATACCTCCTTAAACTAGTCCCACTTTGGCGTAGTTAAATTAACGTTTGTAATAATCTATTAATAGTCGATTTAGCATCTTCACTTTAAAAACGTCAAATACTCACAAAAATTAAAAGAAAACAAAACATAAAGTTAAAATAATAAATTAATAATATTAACTTGCCGGATTCAACAAAAGGATCAAACATTATTGAATGACATAGATGCATATAATATCCTCGCGCTTTTTGGTGATATTTAACATTAGATAAAGGGTCTAAAACTAGACTATATATATTCTTGTTGGATACTCAAATTAGCCGAAATAAAATAACGCATATTCATATAAGGTGCTTTAAAACATAAAATGTGGCATCAAAACGCAAACGGCAAATTTGCCACCGAAAAAATATTTTCTTTACCATATGTTTCCGATTTTATTTCAATTTGGGTATGATGGAAATCTTTTTCTCTTGATACGAAGCAAATACCAAAAGTTTCTATTTAATCGAAAGTTTAACAATGGATGCTTGAAACGTTCACAAGTTATAAGACTTTAAATTCAGAAAAACGGAATGGGGGTGTGGAGGAGGCAAACGACCCGGGCCGACCTCCGTTAATTATAGATATTGGTATGTGTGTTTATATGTGTATACCTATAAGCACCCGTTTAGAAAGACCTGGATTTCTTTTTTATATCTGTAGTGGACTATTTTAACGGAATAAAATTACGAGAATGAGTGCAATTGTTGACCAAATGGCTTTAAACATTTTTTTTTTGTCTAAGAATAATTACTTACTTTGGCTCGACATGGTTAGACCTACTCTAACTATTAATTGACATGGTTAGGCCTATTCTAACTATTACTTGACATGGTTAGGCCTATTCTAACTATTACTTGACATGGTTAGGCCTATTCTAACTATTACTTGACATGGTTAGGCCTATTCTAACTATTACTTGACATGGTTAGGCCTATTCTAACTATTACTTGACAGTTGAAGGGTTTATCTCCAGACTTGCATCCAGTGCTCGGGCCTGGCCTTGGTTAAGTTTGGAATAGAAATATTTTTTATTAGCATTTGATTTAATATATAGTTATTTTCGTCGACCTGGGGAGGGGGGGTGTGGAAAGGCTATTTCATACCTGAGTTCATTTGCCATCTGCATTACCGCTGTCATTTGAAACACATTTTGGCTTGTAACTGAAATATGGCGGAGATGATTTCAGTTATCAGCCAAAATGCGTCTCAAAAATTTACTTCAATAATTATACTAAAGTGTGTGATGATTGACCTTCTTATGGCAATTGAGTTCATTATTAATTTAAAGCACGCCTCCTTCTGTTCATCCAATGTTTGCTAAGGACAGTCATAAAAACATGGCCGTTTTCGTTCCTGAGAACACTATTCCATTTTATTACAACTTTCTCTTTTTCCAGTAGAACAGTTGGTAGCCTTTTTTTAATCTATTACATCCGAATAAATCTTGTTCAACTGTTTCTCTCATCTACTCTCCCAAGTTTCAACTAGACCTATGATTCTTGACAGTTTCCTTGCAAAATTTAAATTATTCCAACAAATTTTAACGTTTTAGGTTTCAAAATTGTATGATTAAAACATGAAACAAACCGTATTTTAGTTGGTCATGTTACACTCTGCTGTCTATTGTGAGAAATTTATTTCTTATTTTTAGTTTATGGCTCGTTATAAACAGTGCATAACAAAGGAGGATGAAAATATGAGAAATACAATAGTAAAAATACGACAAATAAAAATAGTACTAATTACAATTAATAAGATTTATTAAGTTATCTATATATTTTACAAAATAATAGAAATTTAATTAAAAATTAATCAACTTAAAGAGTATGGTATGACTTGTACCGGTACACAGTTAGTACAATGTGCCAAAAATTAAGGTACAATGATGAATATGAATTAACACATATAAATAAATACATAATAACACAGGGAATCTCAGACATCGAAGTTACTGGTATATTATATACTTGTAACACAACATATATGATTTATATGGAGAATACATTAATAACAAGATTTGGTACGTTGTCTCCATATGGAATAAAGCAAATCCACAATTTTACCTAGCTGCCATGTCTTTTTCCTGTTTGGTTTTTACAATTTTGTTCAAATCACATCCTTTTTACTATTCTCAACTTTGTTTCTGCCTGGATTTTTTCGCCCACTTCTATTTTTTCTCCCCTTTTTAGGTAGGATCTGTTTTATATATTTTGTATAATTAATTTATACTTATTTGTCTTTCTGTTGTACTGATGAAGGCATGTGCCGAAACGTATACTTTTGTATTCCGTAAAATTAATATTAAAGCTTACCTTATACTTATATTGGGCTAATTATGATATTATTACCCATGACGTCATTTGCTTATTTATTTAAAATTTGTGCAAGGAAAGGCAGGAGTCATTCCCCTTTGTTGATATTGTTGTTAATTTTATTGGATGAAGTGTCGGAAGTGGTGGCGGCGAAGGAATATTTTAATAACCGGTTGGAACAAGATTTCGTGTGAATAATTAACGAAGATTCAAAGAAAAGTTAAATTTTGTGGTTTTAAAACTGAAATTTTATGTTTTTGGAATTCATGCAGAGAGTGTGGAATTGTCAGAATGTTAGAAATATTGATGAAAAATAGAGAAATTAATTTTCGTATATGGTACTTGAAAATCATGCGGATCTAGAAAGGTGTGATTAAATATTACGTCACTGTCGTCTTATTGTGCTCCGGTGTCCGGCGGTAAGTTCAAAATATCCAAAATTGTCATGGGGAGGAGCAGTTCGACTCATATCTATATGAATATATGTGGCGACGCTCGTGTGGCACTAAAGATCAAATGAGGGAATTTTTAAATGTCATAAAAATTGTGTATCCGCCCCATTTACGAGATCTTGCTTCGTAAAGAGTGAGTAAAATAACGAATTATCATTTGAAAATTTCATTGTTTTTTGTAGCTTTTTAAAATCGTCCATTACCATGCATTTCTGAATTTTAGGGTTAAGGTTAGGGTTTAGGGTTTATTGTTAGGGTTAGGTTTAGGGTTAGGGTTAGGTTTAGGGTTAGGTTTAGGGTTAGGTTTAGGGTTAGGTTTAGGGTTAGGGTCAGGGTCAGGGTTAGGTTTAGGTTTAGGGTTAGGTTTAGGGTCAGGGTTAGGTTTAGGGTTAGGTTTAGGGTTAGGTTTAGGGTCAGGGTTAGGGTTAGGTTTAGGGTCAGGGTTAGGTTTAGGGTTAGGTTTAGGGTTAGGGTTAGGGTCAGGGTTAGGGTTAGGTTTAGTGTCAGGGTTAGGTTTAGGGTTAGGTTTAGGGTCAGGTTTAGGGTTAGGTTTAGGGTTAGGTTTAGGGTCAGGGTTAGGTTTAGGGTTAGGTTTAGGGATAGGGTTAGGTTTAGGGTTTAGGATCCAGGTTAGGGATTTGCGCCATCAAATTTTTGCTCATTTTTCAAAAATTTCAAAAAAAAAAAAATTCAAATTTTACTCGTTTTTTACATTTTTTTTTTAAAATCATTTTTCTTAAATTTCAAAATTTAATAGTTTTTTACAATTTTTTTAAAATTTCAAAACCAAATTTTTCGTTGATTTTTTATTTTTTTCGGAAAAATTTTTTTTCTTCCATTTCTTTACATTTTACATTTTCTTTAAAATGTTTTTCACAGATTACTATATATTTGTGTGTTTTCCTATCTTGAAAATTAAATTTTCTTGTAATATTGCTTATTTTCGATCTTTCGGTAAGTTTTTTGATAAAACGCATTCTCCCCAACCGTTCCCTTTTTGTACAATACGTGTCTTTGCACTACTTGTTTTTTTGGGTCGGCCGCCATCTTGGTTGACATGATCCGTGACCTTCTCACGGATCATGTCAACAAAGATGGCGGCCATGCTTGGGAAACCCCGGGTACCACTCTCATAATTTACCTTATATTGTTATATTGAGACAAATTGTTCACGTCTATTTAATCTAGAATAACACACGCTTATCCCTCCTCTATGCTCTCTGAATCTACTTTTATATCTATTGCTTCGGTAGAACCGACGCTTCTGGAAACGCCTTACCCCTTGTTTATTTTTCCCGTTCACTCCCGAACTTTCCACAAAATTCTATTAGAAAATATTAATTAGTTTTAGTCGGTAGTGGTAAGCAAGATCAAAGGAAATACGCAACGTCCCATACGAACGCAGCCTCATTTGGGGTGAGAAAGAGTTCACGGCATGGGAAAAGAGATGTAAACACGTCTTCTACATAACAGTCAAGTCTTTCTCTTCTAGCTCTGGCTAAATTGGTAACACCACCCTTACAACAAAAGCCGGATATTTCCTAGAGTTTGAAAAGAATTTGTTTGAAAAAAAAAAGGATAGCCCTCCTTATCCCATATCTCTTTTTGTTATACTTATTTGCACATAAAATACAGGCATTGGCAATACACAGGACGACTTTCAAATAAAAAGTAATGTCAGATGGTTTTAAGCACTCTACCCTTAACACCATCTATTCCCTTTTCTTCCTGCACCATCGAATTTTTGTGATTCATTAACATATTTTAAGCTTCAAATCACACGATATTATTACTCTCCTGAACTCTACTGATAGCGTAGATATAATTTTGATTGTATTGACATCGCAGATGCACAGACTTTTTATTGGATCGGTGCCAACGATATCGCTCTGGAACAAAACTGGGTTTGGGAAGACGACAAATCTGTTGCCACAGAGCTGTCCTTGTTGTGGTATACGGCGGCGAACCAACCAACCAACGTCGTGGACGAGGACTGTGCCCTCATATATTTGCCGTCTGCTGGCCCGGAGTCCGTTTTCGATGACCAATGTAACGCCAAAAGGGCTTTTCTTTGTATGGTGAAAGGTGCGTCATTTAAACACAAATTCAATTTGGGTTTTGATGGTTCAATTTTATACGTAAGGTAAAATGCGAAATAAATCCAGCTCAAAGTTTACATAATATCAGTTACAACATTGAAACTATTTTAAGTACATACAATTTGATTTGCAAACGAATGAGTCCGGCATACGAGTCTAATCAGCCATTTTCCACGCTATTTATTGAACTTACAATTTACAGATACACGTTAAAAGTAACGAAATCAAGCCCAAAATTACAACAACAAACAACAAACACTAATGTAATCTGCATTTATAAAACACTAACTTGTCGTTAGCATTAATAGACCTGAAAAATACAAGTATGCAAATGATAAGTAAAGACGAAAAAATAGAATAACGTAAAATATTTCTGATGAAATAAAAGGGTTTCCTTTTAACTAGGAAGACGTTTCTGTTAAACGTTGTATGGCTCTTGACGTTGTATGGCTCTTAACGTTGTATAGCTCTTAGCGTTGTATGGCTCTTAGCATTGTATGGCTCTTCAAGTTGTTTGGCTCTTCACATTGTATTGCTCTTAGCATTGTATGGCTCTTAGCATTGTATGGCTCTTCAAGTTGTATGGCTCTTCAAGTTGTATGGCTCTTAGCATTGTATGGCTCTTCAAGTTGTATGGCTCTTCAAATTTGTATGGCTCTTCACATTGTATGACTCTTAGCATTGTATGGCTCTTAACATTGTATAGCTCTTAACGTTGTATGGCTCTTAACATTGTATGGCTCTTCAAATTGTATGTCTCTTCAAATTGTATGGCTCTTCACATTGTATGGCTCTTAGCATGGTATGGCTCTTCACGTTGTATTACTTTTAACATTGTATGACTTTTCACATACTGTGGCTTTTCGCGATGTATTACGAAAATATTTTGATTAGGGGTGTGCCGGATCCGTTTTTTCCAACCGGATCCGGATTTTCTTATGCGAAATCCGCCGGATCCGGATTCCGGTTTCTCCCGGATTCCGGATTTTGGTACTATTGGTAGATACTTCGGTAAGTCAAGGTGGACTACTACTTTTTGTGTATGGGAATTCGCAATCGGCGCCAAAAAATCCGAGTTTTTAATTTTCCGATGTGTGTGTCTATTTATTATTAAATTAGTACTTTCGATATATATTTGAGTTCCGTTCCATTTGGATAAGTGTCTTACGAGAGACGCCATGTTTCTACGCGTTCGCAGCAGGTTATGCAGCTCGCTCAACCTAATTTCGCCATGGGGTTGGCCACGCCCCCCTTTTTAATGGCGGAAGTTGACGATACTTAGGAAATATTAATTTATTATCACTATTTACATCAAAATAATTGATAACTTGTGTTTCAGAATGCATTTAAAGACATTTAAACTGGAATGTTTTAATTTGAGCTTTAACAACCCGGTAGAATCCATATTATAAATGATCAGAATTTACCGTGTGCAACACGTTGTCATTGGCAACCATTCACAGCCACTTGCATAACTGTATCGTAGTACTACCTCAGAGTTTCATTCATAAGAGTTTGCCGTGTGCAAAAACTATTAAACCATTGGTCAGGGAAAGCTTTAATTAATTATTCATGTGCCAAAGTTGAAAGTTTAAACTAAGTCTAAACAGTATTTTAGTGATAAGGCAGGGAATGCGTTGCCTTATATAAACTATATAGTCATTGCGCATGACGGGATTGGTGGAATGAGATCACAGAATGTGGAGATGCAGTCCATGTTAAAAAATGACAAACCAAGTCGTACTTTAAAAATTCATAACTTTAAAACTACAACAGCTAAAAATATGATTTTGGTGTTATAATTCTTTAAAAAATTACATCTTTTCAACTATGCCATTGGTTTATTTTTACAAAAAGTTTAAATTTTCTTATCAAAGTCCCTACACTATTGGCCACTATTAGCGGTGCTGACTCTAGCCTCTGGTATGTACGGAATATTAAACATTAAACAAGCTCAACGCTCGAAACAATCGATTAATGTATCGTGATCGTGTGGAATTCGGGAAAGAGAATTACTTTTATTTCAGATTATGATCCGGTGAGTCACAAAATCTGGCAAATTCCGAAATCCGGTATATTCCGGATTCCGGAATCCGGTTGTTCCGGATACATGTAAATCCGGCGGAACCGGATTTCACCGGATAGTGCAAAATCCGGCGGAACAGGATTCCGGACCGGGGTCCGGCACACCCCTAATTTTGATACGTAAAAACATTTCAGTTTCTGAGTTTAAAACGTAACAACTATTTTGATCTATTCCACAGATCTGACCACAACTCAGGATCCAACAATAACTCCGGATTCGAATACAACTCCGGATTCGACTACCAATGCGATCTTAACTTCAACCGCAAATATTCAGAGAACTACTTTGATGAAATGTGGTGCAAATTCCATTTACTTCAACGTTGCATTGTTTTTAAATTTGTTCGTGTTGATTTATGTAGTAATTTGAATGTAGTCGTTGCTTCAACCATTTCTCCATTTTTATGCTCTTCAGAACCTCACTTTTTGATTTTGGCAGAAATTTAAAGAAAAAATAATAAGTATGGGCGCTTTTAGTTTGTTTACGTTTAATTATGTGGCAAGTTGAAATTTTTTGCATCATGTGGAAATAATGAAAACAAAACTACAAAAATAAATATTAAAAGTTTGAATTTTAGCCATTTTTTATTCTCTTTAAAATTTATTAATTAATGAGGGAAATGTAAACTTTTAAAAGTTATCTTAATTGTTTTATTTACATATTTTTTAAATTTATTATTATTATTTTTTTATTTTATTTTCAGTCTCTAATCAAAGAAAGAATAGATATTTTTACATTTCTTAAACGGATTTGGCTCCAGAATATGTCAACATTATATTCGATTTTCAAAGTTAAGATTGATTTTTTTTTCAAATCTTTATTCACAATTATTTCTTTTATTCCTCTTATACAGTAAGTTTCACGCACTACACATTTCTTAATATTATATCATACTCCATGTTGTATTTCTAAAAAAACAATTGTATGGATTTGAAAATTATCTTTAATATTAAATAAAGCATTAATTACTTTACTATAAAATAATTAATGTCCAGAAAGGGTTTTGAAACCTTAAAACTCGCACTGCAAATTTAATTTAAGAACCATTCGTGCCTTAATTGATGACATGACTTCATTGATGAAGTGATCTAATTAATGGAATGACTTAATTTATGGCATGACTAAATTAATGGCATGACTAAATTGATGGTATGACTTAATTGATGGCCCCTCTTAATTAATGAAATGATTTAATTGATGCCATGACTTATTTGATGACATTACTTAATTAATGATATGACTTTATTCATTTTTATGACTTAATGTATGCCATGACCTTTTTTGAGATTTTAAACCTGCTGTTGGGTACATCATTTGATTTTTATTTATTTTTTCAGTTTGATTGCTAAACGATAAATTATTTTTTACTGAATTCTTTTACTTTTATGTATCCGTGCTCATTTATTAAACATGGGTTCTCCTTGTAGTGACTAACAAATGAACCACAGAGCAAATCCTTTGGATCTCCAAATTCATTTCTTTGTGTAGGCCTTTTTGAAAGCTTTCAACCTTAAACTAGATGATATGTAATTAACCTAAATCGTTCCTTCCTATAATTCAACATCATGACCGTAAATAAGAACATATAAAGACCTTTTTTTTTTCAGCATTCATATCCTTATTTCATTTCAAATTAACATTTTTTTAAACAAAGCCGTCTCATACTTTTAAAATGAGAATTATTTTTTTGTAACTGTATTAATTTCGATCACATTTGAGAGATAATTGCTTTGTGCTGTATTAGTATAATTTCTTTGAGTAATTTACTTTACTTTTTCTTGGGTTAGAGTGATAAACAGTTTTGGTTTTAAAGTTGTCTGTTTTAATATTTTGTTTATTATAATATGTTTCCTTCTTTTATGTGTGCATTTGGTTGAATATGTGTGTGTGTAAATATTAATTATAAATATTCGTATCCAATTACATTGGCAAAACAAAACTATTCACAGTCCTTTTAAAACAATGATACCATTAAATAAAATTTAACACTATATCCTCACTGAAATAAAACACAAAAAAACACCAGTAATCCTGTTTGCACTCTTGTATTTAATTTCTTTTTTTTTTTTTTCTTTCTTTTTTTGCTGCCATTCGTCTGTCACAATGTGACGAAGGTGTGGGCTTCGGAATTCGGGATTATTCTTCAAGGATTATAAGCTGGTTCCCAACAGCAAATCGTCTCTTTCCACGCCGCTGGATAACCCAAGGAAATATCAAGGGATGATACAGCTTGGCACCAGTGAGTCGCAGGAGTTGTCGGAATGTTTCATTTGTACCAATGTTATCCGCCTACGGGTCTCCATCTCCGGGTTTGATTTCAGAGTTTCCTTCTCTTAGATGAATTGCCATCCAAGGTTAACGGGTCCCATCTACTCGGGGTGCTGGTGATGTTTTTGCTTGACTGGGCTCTGGCTGGAATTGAACTCCAGACCACCAACTTGAGATTTGCTCACTTTAGACCACTCTGTCTAATATTTCTAGAGGAGATGCCAGAAGAAAGCAAAAAAAAAATATTTGTTTAAATTTAAATTTTTTTTTTTTTTTGGATTAGCATTTTGATTATCATCCGTCCATCCCTGTTCAGCTACAGCCCAGGCCTGCCTCAAAACTTACTTCCACTCTTCCCGATCTAACTGCTTGGATTCCCAACGGGTGTAGATCTTTTTCCACATCATTGATCCATCTAAGGTTAGGTCTGCCTTTGGACCGTTTTTCCTTCGGGGTTTAGGCATGTAACCTCTTCCCTCCTCTGTCATTTGGGATTCTTTCTTTTCTAAGTGTCCTGTCCAGCATAGCCTACCCTATTTATCTATGCTACTGTTTTTGATTATCATGAAAATTCTAAGTTTAATTTTAATTCTTCTTATTATTCTTTATAAATTTTAGAAAAAATGTTCTTCTTTCTAAACCGTCAATACAAAAAAAAAAAACTTATATAGATTTGGTTAATTAATTTTTTTTGTTTAAATTGATCCAAGAGGTAATATGTAACTTATCTGAAGAAAGTTTTAGTAGTTTGAATTTTTAAATAAACATTTCACTCAAAGGAAAATTGGAAAATGTATGCATTATATTTATAAGGTTTCCCTCTTATAATTAAAAAAAAATATGATGTCTTTTGAAAATGCCTCACGTCTTTGGAAAATTTTTAAAAAAAAAACATTCAAGATGTACACCTTTTTTTCACACAAAAGTTACTGTATCTTTTTTTTAATTTTTTACCCTGGTCAAACTTCGAAATGTTCAGAAATTTTATTATTATACTAATGTTTATTTTCGATTTACTTTCAAAATGTACAAAAAATGGCAGCTACAGCTGTCAATGACAGCATTATAAATTTCTGGACTTCAACTTACTTCACTTGCGTAAGGGGAAGGGGAGGGGGGAGGTCAACCCATGGTGGCACATTTTTTTTTCTATATATTGAGGTGTGGATTTTTCGGTCAATTACTCAAATTTTATTGTGTAGGCAGGGCAGCCCAAATCTTGAGCCACGCCGGTTGGGACTAACTCCACCTACGACACTTGCCTTGGGACATTCTCGCGTGTTTTATGAATGATTTCAACATCCTGCCTCGATTTTCTGTGGCCCGAACCCATTTGAAACCACCTTAAAAACCTTAGCTTGACGTAAATGTACTGAAGATTCAAACTGGGAAAAAACTTGAAAAATTGGGAATATACTAAACGAGTTTCAATTTAATTTAAGCTTTTTTTTTTTTGTTATTGTTGTTTGCATACGTTTCGTTATGTAAAATTTTTTAATAATTATTCTAATTCATGAGTTTATCAAGTAATATAGACTCTAAACATTTTTTAAAATAACAAACATATATCTGTTTAGTATTATATTTTTAAAAAAAATTTTATAACACAATCCGGTCTAAAAGACCAATTGTTTGAATTCAAGTCCAAACGTTTGTTCTTTTTCCCCCGTCCCCCCCCCCCCCCCCCAATACTTCAATGTCTCCCGCATTTAGTCTGTAATTCAGAAAGTATCCACATCACAACATTAAGCCCTTCAAATATTCGGAAACCGCTGCAGCAGAGTGACTTGCTGTGCCCTCACGGTGGCTTCGGCGTCGAGCTACAACTGCATTTTTAATCAGCATCTCAATTGTGGCTCTACTATAAAGTGTAAAATAATGTATAACTAAATTCTGATATGTGCTAAAGTGTATTCTGGCATTTTGAATTAATCACATAGTTTCTGGTTGATGTAAAGATTAAAAAGGTGACACTTATCTGTGGCAAAAACATTACCTCACTTGCGCATCAACTGCTTCGCCCTTCCCTCTCGCCCAACAAAGTGACAGTATACCGTTGAATCTAAGCTTGTGTCTAAATATTACCCTGGGGCGTCCCATAACTGGACATTATTCTTTTGATTTATGCCTTTAAATGCCATAATATAACCAAATTTGCGTGCTGATAGATACTTTCCTCTACGCCAAATGCATGAAAAAATCCTTTCTTCCGATTACATTGTCCAATATATAATGACTGAATTCAGGTAAATGCCAAAATTCATCTGTGGAGTTGGAATTTAAAAAGAATTCTAATGAGAGGATCCCCATTCCCACACCCATTTTGCTTATGAGCCATCGGCGCCCTCCGATTTATAACCAATTCAGGATAAAAATGATAGTATAGCTGGCCCTGGTCAACAATGTTTGCATAATGGATACACTGATACACGGTCTAGTTGTGTATTTATGGTTAGCACATTCTGGGCCGGACAAGATATTGGCCTTGCTTTTTCCCTCATACAAACTTTTATGTTATCCAAAATCTATTCACACTTTAAAAAAAAAATATGAAGAAACAAGAAATGATTTTTAAAAAAAATGTAATACATTTTCTTGAAGAATTCTTTTAACTTTTAGAATAAAAAGCTTTTTTGGTGGAAAAACCTTCCATGTCGGATGATGTAAATTAGGTGCTTGGGGCGCACGAGTCACGCTCTGATAGTAATAGAAAGCAAACTGAGCTTGGTTAGATCCAAAAACACAATGACGTCAAATTGATATAATGTATATCAAAACAGCTCAAGGGAGTTTACATTAACAAAATTATACTAATTCAATATATATGTTACCGGCAATGTGTGAAATCCGGCATTAAAATCTATAGGTACCCGGCTACCTATAATCGCCAATGACTATTCGCACCCGGAATCATCGCATTACAGATGAAATAGCTTCGGAGCCGGGTGTGATAACAATAATTAGTATGAGAATTATTTTTTTAAAATTGTTTTTTCTCCCTGTTATTTCATAGATTCATAGTTTTATTCTTTTTAGTTGTTTTTTTTTATTTTTGCTTTATTAATTTCTCTTAGGACGGGTAGATTTTTTTTTCTTTCTTATTTTCTTTTTTAGTTTAAGCCATTTTCGCAGATCATTTTTTTTTTAAAATCTAGTAATGAAGATGATTTAGATACATTGATTGTTTTCATTTGAATTTTAGAAAAGTAATAATATTAATTTAATTATTAAAATTAAATCCTTTATTTAAGATTATTTATGTGTATTGTTTAAGTTAAAAGATTTAATCACACAGTACTTTATGAATTAATTAGGTATTCTAAATAATGAAAATTTCATTCATAATGAATTAATTTCAACTATTCCTCTAGAGAGCTTGGCTTAATCAGAACAGAACCACCAATTTTAAACTTTTTCCTTGGCACAAAAATCTGCCCAAGAAATATAATAAAAATGGTTATTTACACAATTTTGTAAAAATAATTTTCAGCACATTAAAAACATTTACATATTTATAAAAGTAGTTGAAATCTTTCGGAACCAATCATTGCGAATTTGCAGTGAAAATAAATTTACAAGAACAAGTCAAGAATGACGATTATCTCAGCAAGGCCTTTTCAAACCCAGTTGTTGGGTTCAGCTGTCTATGTTCTATATACCGGTATTCACTTTTCTGCGTGTTAACTTGTCCGTTGGTTCACTAGTCCTGTGTTTGGATGTGTTATGGTGAGTTGTGGGTTTACTTGTCATGCATTCATTTGCGCGGCCCCCGCAGTGGACACAAACCATAAAGTTTATGCAGCATTAACGATCAGAAATCTGCTTAAAGTAAACCTATACACGGGTAAGCCGCGGCGACTGCGTTGCTGCCCACATCCTTACTAAACAGAAACATGGCAAGGCCGTGGAGGCCACGTCGCTCTAGCTATGCCGACGTATTACTTTAGTGTATCAGAGAATGACTTTGGTAATCAGCCGGCCAGATCAGGGAAACGGCGCATGGGCAAAAAAAGGTGCGAAGCGAGAGACTCGGCTACGTAATAGAATTCCAACAACAGAGACTGAGAGAGCAACCAATTTGACAAGCGTTGGGTGATGTGTAACGTGTCTTCATAATGAGCAGATCTGGGAAACGTTTCGAGCGGACCAGTGGTTATGTTGCGATATGTTAACTAGAAAGTTGTGCCACCCACTACCACTGAGTTTAAAAAAGAAACTCTTCAGCTCGCCGAAAATGCCGCCCTCAATATATATTTTTTTAAAAGTGGCACTTGTGTCAACCACCCCCTCCCCTCTACAGCCCCCTTCCTATGCAAGTGGATTGACTTTTTCTCCACAATCGTGAGTCATAGTAGGCAAATAAGCTATTTAAATGGTCTATGGTTGGTCAGCTCTAGTTTGATAGATGGCACTTAATTATTTAGTAGATACCACCTAAGTTGACTCTGGTTTGTGGTGAGTAAAATGAGAGCCAGTGTCAGTGATTTTATGTATCTTGATGGAACCAAGTTGCTTTGTTAG